ACAAATAACGCTAAAAGTGCGTAAGTCAATTTCATCAACCAACAGTGATTCTGCTCTTATTCAAGCTTTATTGAGAGTCTGCAGAACCACTTATATCAAAAATAGATCAGATCAGCTTTGCATATACACAGCTTAAAATATTGACTTTACCATCCGACCATGTCGGCAATTCAGAGGTCGAGTGTAGAATATGAAAATTGAAAAATAGGCCATGTTTAATGTCCCTTAATGCATACGCTCATGTGGATGGATACCGAGAATTCGGCTGAACCTCAACGCATGCTTGGAAGCCATTGAAGCTTAAGACGTGCCAACTAAAAGTGTTCGACGCCCCAACCCACAATAAAGATTGAAAGGTTGTCGAAAGCGGAAAGTTTACAAGTCGGCCTGATGCTACAAATGAGGCTGGAGCTATCATCTCCTCAATGGCTGCTCACCTGTTCCAGCATCTCTGGCGTGTGTGCAGCCGATATGCAGAATCGCACTCGAGACAACAACAGTGCCGTGGCAGGAAAACCCACAACTACGGTGGCGAGCCCGCGAGAGAGGCAGCCTCGAGAGAAGGCCGGCAATTTGGCCGGCATGTAAATGATGACCGGCACCACAGGACTGTCCCGATTTCCGTAGACGACAAAACCCATTTGATGCAAACGAGCACGAAAGTATTGCGTGTTCCACGCCAACTGTTTGAGCCTGTTTCAAGAAGAGTTTCGCCGTCGTCGAATATCCGTGAGGATGGGGAAAAAGAGATGGACCATACACAGACAGGGGCTTAAGCGGATGCATGTTATTCTGAAAATGTTACCAGTTGCCGCTACACTTTCATTATACCGAATAGCAAACTGCCCAAAAGAGTTGAGCATAGATACCAGGCTCGTGTTTCACTTACAACTACCTCCTCGTCTAAGGGGTAAATGTCACCTCAGAGTGTGAAACACAAAGCACTACTCTCTAAAGACGTATGATTTTTTACGAATATGCCACTCTAATAGACCGTAATACTTATCAAATAGAGAAAAATAAAAGCTCATTGCTCGAAATTCCGGAATGAGACAAAATGAAACAAAAGGATTTCTCAACTTTCATCTTTCACTACTACAATGGCTTGCTACTCATTTCGATGCAAAAAAGTCATCATCTAAGGCGGATAGACTAGATTTCCGGCTTAGGAATTCCCATATATTTAGCAACTCAAAATATATACATACAGTTAAATGAAAAAATATAGTATACATGCATAGCTAAATATATAAATATAAATATAAATATATATGGTTACTAAAAATAGTGGTTAGGCAGCATGTCGAATTATGAAAATAAATAACTGGAAGTTAGCAGCGCAGCATTCAGGCCTCTAGTGCCTGACAGGTGAGGTGGTCAGAATGACCTGAAATTGCATTGAGAATGCTACAATTTTGGTCAGTAAAGTGATAATGTATTGAGTTGAATGAAAACCAGCTCCAATGTGAATTAACCATTGGATAATTTAGCAATAGTGACAAATGAAATGATAAGGCTCGAATTCACAAATCAGACATGCGAGATGAAGTATGCCGTTTTGTAAAAAATGGAAGACGTTATTTTTTTGCAATATTCCTGACGAAAGGCTAAATTGGTGCGTTTATCTGAGAGATGAATTGGAATAAGGCAAAGGTTAAGGAGTGTTCGCGATGATGACGACGGCGGATTCCTCTTGGCCACCTTTTGGTGGTCATCCATCAATCGTCCTATGATGCACATCATCAGGGCAGAATATCGTTTTTGTTAGCGTTTTAGGCCCAAAAGTCAAGAAAATTCATTGGCCTATCCCTAAGTTTTTATATAAATGCTGTAAATCTAGGCATTTTGATGAGTTTCAAACTAATTTGGTTGGTCCTAATAATATGTCAATATAGGAGCATGTGGAAATTTTTATTTGTTTGAGCTTATGCTTCTTCATGGGTATGTAATAATACGAAACCGACAGTGGCAGCTTAAAGTAATTGGAACAGAATGTAATATCTGACCTCGATCCTTAAGGTGTCACTATCCTATTTCAGTCTTTTTAAAATCATCACTGATTGAGTAATATCGGGCATATGTCTGGTTAACATGACGCAATTTTTGGGCGTGAGAGAGAAAGACTAAACAGGGACGTATACATGGATAGCTAAATAAATAAATATATATAAATATATATAAATAGAAATATATATAAATATATATATATATATGGTTACTAAAAATAGTGGTTAAGCAGCATGTCGAATTATGAAGATAAATAACTGGAAGTTAGCAGCGCAGCATTCAGGTCTCTAGTGCCTGACAGGTGAAGTGGCCAGAAATACCTGAAAGTGCATTGAGGATGCTACAATTTTGGTCAGTAAAGTGATAATGTATTGAATTGAATGAAAGTCAGTTCCAATAAGAATTAACCATTGGATAATTAAGCAATAGTGACAAATTCAACGAGTTAGCGTCAAGTTGACAGTTTTCAAACTGATAAGGCTCGAATTCACGAATCAGACATGCGAGATGAAGTATACCATTTTGTAAAAAATGGAAGACGTTACTTTTTGCAATATTCTTGACGAAAGGCTAAATTGTAGCGTTTGTCTGAGAGATGACTTGGAATGAGGCAAAGGTTAAGGAGTTCTATTCTAGCACAGTCAAATTGTGTCTGAAGCTGTACAAAGGGGATCGGTTGTACAAACAAGAACATGATCCAGGCCTACGCTTGATCCTTATCACAGCTGCCTTCATCCAGAGACCCAAAAGATTTCTGGCAGTGACTGCAAACACCTTTTGCGAAAGCAATGGAATGCATCAACTCTACTTATATCATTGTGGGAAAATTGAACTACCATTACCTCATCACCTTAAACGAAATAGGGTGGACATAATTGATTTAGTGATAGTTTCGAAAACATACTCATTCAAGAAGAAAGCTGTCGCTAAGGTCTGCCACCTTATCAGGCACCAACTTTAATCATCTACAAAGACTTAATTTCAGCATAAATTGGTTAACCTAAACATGCGATGCTCTGTTAAGATCGCCAATTTGGGCATGAGACGTAAGTAGGCTTTCAGCGACCACTTTTGTTGTTAGGGCGACCTTCATTTCGAATGAAAGTACATGGAGAAGAGATTCGTTTTTCGATCTCACCAGATGAGGACGGATGAAAATCGTTGTACTGCAGCCGTTTAGCTCCTTCATTTCGAATGAAAGTACATTATGAAGAGATTCGTTTGTCGATCTCACCAGATGAGGACGGATGAAAATCGTTGTACTGCAGCCGTTTAGCTTTTATATTATATTATTATTTATATTTTATATTCATGTTGACGCAGTCCACGAGTATTCCTTCCTCGTTTCGGGTGAACACGTGCTGAGCTTTCGTCCATAAACTGTTGGACATCATCAGAGCTGGGTTTCATTCTTGTAAGTCTCACAGTAACACTAAACCAAGAACACTATCCGGCTTCATCTTACTACTTATATACACTTAGTCGAGTCAATAGATT